GGAAGAAGCTGAGGTGGGTCTCTTCTTTACACGGGAGCCAGCTAAAAGCAGCAGGGTACACTTGAGATGGAGTTGGAGGGTTGTGGCCTCCAATACCAATTTCTGTGAGTAGCTCAGAAGACTGTATCCACATACAGTTTCAGGACACAGTGCACACGAGCTTAGGTTACTGAGCTAAGAGGTTTTAAGAACTTAAGATCATTGACAACTTGGTGTACTCAGTCAGCAGAAGTGACATATGGCCACAGAAAAATTTGTTAACAATTAGAGTACTTCTTGCTAATTTCCAGAAAAGACTACAATGGGAAGGATAGTGGTGGGTGAAATTCAGGCAACCTGTGTAAACTTATGGTTTAGTACTTTTTGTTAACTGCCAACAATATTACTACAATAAAACATGATTATTTGCTTGTGTAATGTACATATACATGTATACATGTATGTTTATATTTGCCAAGCACTTCATCTGAAAAAGTAAAATCAACACCACTTCAATAATCCCAGTAAGTTATTTTTGAAAATTTAGATGTTAATATTTTAGAAGACTACTCTGGCAAACCAATCCCCAAATATTTTGAATGACATTGTACATTTAAAGGTAGCATTTTCAAAAATATTGTCGATAATACAGAGTACTTCTTGCTAATAGAAGTACTAGCTGACTAGCTCTTTAGTACTACTGACTAGCTCTTTAATAAACTCTCTTTGAGTTTAAAAAGGATTAATCATAATCTAAGCCTTTCTCTATTTTAAACACAAAAAAACAGTGTGGGCTGGATTATAATTAACCCCCGTTTGATACTACTTTAAATGACATTTTTATCCAGCTAAAAAATAAAGCTCTAAGGGAAGTTTGTGTATTCACACATTTGCAATGCTAACGCCTGGCATTATGAAAATTAGAATCACATTTGTATTACAAGGTAGAATTCCATAGGACATGAACATAACTTTTAGGAAAAAATCCATTTTGAACTAGATATTACTGCTTAATGATACTATTTGGCAAAAGGAAAATATTCCTATCTCCAATTTACTTTTTTATTTCCCCAGTAACTGAGGTCCTATTCTGCTTCCTTACTGATCCTAAAGACATTTAACTTTCCAAGTTTCAGTTTTACTACCTATTGGTGGAATAAAAATGTTAACCTACCAACTTTACAAGATTCTTTTGTGAATTAAATCAAGTAACATAAAAAGGTTTGGGCATGTAATTGCCACTGAAATAAAATTCTACAATTAATAACAATTTATATCACTCTGGATAGAGAAAAAAATTTCAACTTGTAGAAAATATTCTTCTCATAAAGTCAGACTTTTAATCTGAAATGTGTTATTAATATCTCAAATTGAATTATTTGGGCTCTACAACATGGCATTAAATTCTAATAGATCCTAGGAAAAGGCATTTTATTATTATTATTAACATCCTGAAGATCATTAATCACACATTTTACAACAAAAGAAAAGTGAGTCTTAAAGAAGTTAAAAGGATTTGCTCAAATAGTACAGCTAATAAGACTGGGAGGATACAAGTCTTTGATGTTTTATTTCAATTGTTCTTTTCACTATATATACACCATTTTGCCTTTAAATTTTTGACCGTTTCACCATTTTGGTTTACAGTGCTTCTTCCACATCCAAGTAGTTTTCCAAATTGAAAGTCATTAAAAGTCTTCTATTAGGTACACGATACAACAGTCATCTAACATGAGGCGAGAGCTGAAAGTCTCATAGACAATATCACCCAGAGCTCTGACATTACTACCTTAACCAACCCCTAAATCACCTTGCTCTGGCTCATATTATTATATGATCAAAAAACCTGTATGTAGCCAGGCAGTCAATTATTTGTGGCCTAAAAACACAAATATAAAACTCCAGTATTTCCTAGTGAAATCATTTCACCTAGTTTCTACAAAAACTTCCTTCTCAGACCAAATATTATGAAGACATAATATTTTAAATTCAACTTTTGTTAAAAATCAATTAGGTATATTATTAAGAAAAATGGTATTTAGTGGCTCACTGTAGTTCAATAACTTCAGGATACGACTGAAGAAACTAATGTAAAATAATAACAATGTTCATTTAACAGAATAAAAACTATCTGAAACGCTTAATCCATCCTGAAATTTGTTTGAAAAACGTAAGTTTCAAAAAGTCAGACATTATTCTCAAATACATATATAAACTTATTTTAGAAAAACACCATTGTCACACAGCCATAAACTTTAAAAATATTTTACTAAAATCAATAAAATATATTAAAAATATTTTATTATCCATCAAAAGTCAGTGGATATTATATGATAAAACAGTGAAAGTTTTATTACACCCACACACATCTCTTAAAACCTGATGTGATTCTTTATCACAGAGGGCAGAAAGAGAAAAAGCAAAGTATTATCTTGAATTAGAAGAATGGCAAAGATTTAACAAATCTTACAATTATGACAATACTCTCAACTAATGAGTCACAAGAAAAAAGGCCTAAAAGCAACCATTAAAAAAGTTCATTAAAATCCCATAAATTACTGAAAGCAACAGAGGGGTCATCCTCAAGAAGGGCCTTACTAATTTGAAGAACAGAACTAACTTAACTTAGCTTCCAGTTCTGGTCCAAGTTTCAGAGCAAGGGAAGAAGTTAGGAGATGTTAAGAAAATTATGATTAAAAGTGAGTAAAGAAAGGAATCTGTAAGTACAGGCTAAAAATCATAAAAGTTAGGGGACACAGGGGTAACACACTAGCTATCTATAATAATAAAAGCATAATATGCTGATTAGACTGGACGTCTTTCTGGATGTCCTTCATTCTGGACAAAACTACAGTGGGCGGAGGCCAAGGCCCTTGCACGAATTTCGTGCATCTGGCTTCTAGTACATATGTAATAGCTTCCAAGGACATCACAGCAGAATAAACTGACGCTCAAAAATGATTCTGAATAAAAATTTTAAAATTTATGATAATTTAATTAATATAGTAGAAAAGCAATGTTGACTATAATAAGACTTGTAATGATTGACAAATTAACCATCATGGTAAGAAGAATTATAGTCCAAACTTTCTCACCAAGATATGATTTGCTAGTACTAAAAACAACAACAAACCACCACAAAAAAAACAAAACCTAGAGTTAAACAGAACAAAAAGCTGTTTCCTCCTATTCATAAGTCATTATTTTCTATCTTACAAAAAGTAGACTCTCCAGGATATCTCAATTAGTGAGCAAGCACTTCATTTAAACTAAAAATAAAAATTAAGAAAATCCTGAATTAGATACATGTTTCCAATAAATATAAACTTAAAAAGCTTCACTTAAGAAAGTTTAAGGGGAAAATGTTGGATGAAAACAGGTGAAAGAATTCGCAGAAGAAAAAAAAAAAGCATTACCCATAGACACAGACAACAGTGTAGTGATGGCCAGAAAGAAGGGGGGATAGGGGCTGGATCGAGTGGGCAAAGGGTGGGAAATGGGGGACATCTGTAATACAGTCAACAATTTTTCAAATAAGTAAAATTTTTTTTAAAAATTAAGTAAAAACCTAAAGCTTTGGGAGAAATAGAAAATGTATTAGGAATAATCTTTTAGGAAATACGATGATAGCATTTTGATCAATACCCAATGCTAGATGAACAATTTTAGCTAAAGATTCAAATCTATTCAAATAACCCACCTTTAAAATATCAAATGCCATAAATACTTTTTACATCTATTTAACATTAAATGGTCACAGTAATGTTGCATGAAAGAATGGAAGAAAGATGAGAGTTCAAAATAAGCTTTCAGGGTTTTCTTAGAATTACCAATCCTTTCCAGGTCATTTGTTTTAGTGTTGCTATAGTGACTCTATGAATCATGATCTTTCCTCCACACTCTGTAATTCAGAGGACTAATGAATTTGACATTATAGTAAACTAGAGGCCTGGTGCACAAATTCATGCACAGGTGGGATCCCTCTGCCTAGCCAGCAATCGGGGCTGATCAGGCCAGAATGGGGCCCACCGGGACCAGCCAGCTGGGGGTGGGGTGGGGAAGACTGTAGAAAGTTGACCAGCAGCAGGAGTGCACTGACCACCAGGGGGCAGCTCCTGCATTGAGCGTCTGCCCCCTGGTGGTCAGTGCACATCATCATAACTACTGGCCGGTCATCCAGACATAGCAGTTGCTTAGGCTTTTATAGATAGATAGATAGATAGATAGATAGATAGATAGATAGATAGATAGATATAGATATATATAGATTATCTATTTTCAGGTTCAGTTTAGTAAATTAAAGAAATTACTGGCAACTGGAATACACACAGAGAGGAAATTTATCCATATATTCATTTTTTTCTAAAACTCTCCCTTGCCAGTTCTGAATTTTAAATCCACTGTATTTTAAGTTAGAGTCTTTTCAAATAATGTGTCATTCTTTATTTTACTAAGAGACTAACAAATAAGTCTTCGTATATGTTTACCAGAATTATTTACAGAAAAATCTGATCTTATAATCTAGTTAGATATAATATAAATTTAATAAAAATGTCTTTATTTCGAGTTCACAAAAAAGAACCCTCATTTGAAATACATATAAGAAATGAACAGTGAAGTGTCAAGATGTCTACAACTTACTTTCAAATGGGATTCAGTAGAAGAAAATATATATATATGTATATGTACATGTAAAAAAAATAATATATATATATATATATATATATATATATATATATATATATAAAATCTGTGTAAATTGGATAAAGCAAATGTGGCAAAATATATTCAGAGTATTTTTTCAACTTTTCTGTGAAAAATTTCAAAGTAATTCTCTTGTATTTTAGTCATTATTCTGAATATATGCCCAGTCCCTTCCTTTTTTGCTCCAAGATGCTTCTTAACCTCATTTAAAACAACTGTTACAGAATTGTTATGTCTTTTTAACAAAAATAATAACTCTAGGAAAAAGATTTTAAAAGTAGGCTTAAAGGCATGTATCAGTGAATTAATTGTTTTACCTGAAAGTTAACATCTTCTTTCTTAAATATTAGTGCTCGAACTTCATCAGGATCTCCATTAAATATAGCTTGCACCAGTGATGGCTAAAATATAAGAGTAATAAAAACATTAATCACAGCACATGGATGATTCTAAAGATATTTCCACATAACTTTTAAAATTATTTTTAATACTAGCCCGAGGATATGTTTTTATTTATTTATTTACAGAGAGGAAAGGGGGAGAGGGAGAGAAGTAAAGGAAGAGGGAGAAAGAGAGAGAGACAGAGACAGACAGACAGGGCGAAACATCAATGTGAAAGAGAAACACACATTGGTTGCTTCCCACATGAGCCCCGACTGGGGATCGAACCCAAAACCTTTTGGTGTATGGGACAATGCTCCCACCTGGCCAGGCTCCACATAACTCTTCAATCTAAAAATCTTCTTCTCTATAGCAACAATAACCATTTGGTTTTTTATATTAACCAAAAGTTTCATGAAGTCAAATCACATGGAAATATAAGATTCCTCCTTGTGGGGGTGGGGATGGGGGAAAGGCCTAATTTTAAAAAATCAATTAAAAATTACCAAAACTAGGTGACATGATAACAAGTGCAAGCCTTTTATATATACATATATATATATAAATATATATATATATGTATAATTTTTTTTTTTAAAGAAAGTTATTGCCAAATACAAGGGTGAAATCTCAACGTCTACTTTTTGGGCAAACTTATCAAACAATAAGTTTGACAAGTTTGAGGCTCAGCAAAGAAAGCCTCTTTGAAAAATTCTGTTTGTGGCATCAAAGTATTTGCATGGGTCAGCATTGCATGTATAAAGATATAAATCCAAAGAAAAGCTGTCAATTGATGAAAATCACTACTATTCGGAGACCAAAAATAATTGTATACTTAATCAAGAGGCAAACACGTGCATGTCTAAATATAACAATTTCTTAATCAACGATATGGCTCTTTGATAAGATATCATATTATACCAGTCAAATAAAAAAGCCAATTGACAACATTAAAAATAAGGTTAAGAATAAAGTCTGAGTCTTTTCTTATAAAAAGTCTTGCATGTAAATACATTTAATTCATTACAGAAAAGACCATGCCTCGGTGTTGCTGGCAGTAGTCAACCTTTCCTAAAATATAGAGCTCTTCATTCTTATTACATCAGTTTTAAAACCACAAAATGAAAACAGAAACATGGTTGCCACAACTACTATTCTCAATTATTTTTAAAAATCTTTTAAAGAGATTAAAAGATAGCAAATAAAATTTAAAATGTTATCTAAACATCTGAAAAAGTAAAACTCAGAGATGTGTGCATTTTATATATAATATTGCATACATATACATCTACATTGTTTTTATTTGGGTTTTTAATTAAAATAGTGGAAACTAACGTTATTCTTAAAAAATAAAATTTATTCTACTAGTTCAGTAGAATATAGTAAATGTATAAACTCTTATATCTTACCAATACATTCCCAGAAGGTGGAGCATGTACGGATTTATTTTCCTGTGGCAATTTAGAAATGAATGCAGGAGATTCATCTTCTACCTCCTCCAAAACAACAATACACACTCGACTCATTCGCTCTTTTAAAACACTAGATTCCCAGCAATGTAAAAAAAGTCACAGTTGGAAGAGCACAAGTAGTTTTTCCTCCTTTTCTGTATGACACTTAGAATCATTCTTTGAACAGCACAGCTGTGTGGGTTTTTTTTAAAGTTAATAAGTACTACTGGAAAAACTGAAGTTTAAAATTATGACTACATAACTTATAACTTCCTAAAACCAACAAAATTCAGTTATTTTCTGTTGGGTGATTGCAATACTTAAAAGAAATTTCACATCAACATGTCAATTAACTAAAAAGGAGTACTAGCTCATTTAAAAATATTTTTCCTCTACCAAAATAGTCATATTGCTCTGTCTTAGAAATTTACTTGCATAAAAAAAATCATTGTTTTGGGTGATACCACCACGCAATGCAGAATGAAATGAGAAACAACTGCTGTGACAGAGATAATTACAGCTATACCCACTCTTGCTTGCAAGGTCATATAGTTACCAGTAGCTGGCTTGCTTATAATTGAAAATTAAAATTAAACTCTTATTATTCTGTTTCCACTTCTAATTTGTCTTCATTTCTTCAGCTTCACTGCTTAATACAGACACTATCCAGAAAAAGAAAAGAAAAAACATCTAGAGCTCAGCACAAATTTTTTAAATGCAGCTCAGAGGTTGACGATTCTTTCTGTGTTTGGGAAAGAAAAAAAACACAACACTCTGCATTAATAGCAAAGCTGCAGTACATTTACATGCGATGAGTCAGATCACAAGAGACAATAGGACTCTTGGTACTAGAATACAGCTTGATTAATCCAGATATTCCTTATAATAGAGGAAACACAGATAGCTTTATTCCCATCGATAGCATGAGCAAGGCAGAGCGTTCATTCTTTCTTCATCAGGCAGTTGTCTGTGGCTGCTCCAGCAAAAGGGCACAGACACCAGGCAGAAATGGTGCTAGCGGGAATCCTAATAGAACAGGCAAGCCGGGAAGGAATCAGAAGACATTTGAGCTCAAATTACCGCTTCAGGCTTTTCATTAAAAAAAAGAGAGAGAGAGAGAGAAAACCCCAGTAGTTTATCATTCCAGTGTTTCCTTTGATCTCCACATGAATACAGCTTCCACTAAATAGTCTTCATTCAGAGGAAAAAACAGCAGACTGTGCATCTTCTTTGAGCCAACTACTTTATTCAATCATCTGCCTCGGTGCCAATACAGTTTCCTTCCACTGTGAAAACCGCTACAGTTATCCTTTTCAGTAGATTTCAGATGCTTCCCTGGTACTCAGATGATCTTGCAAAACACCACCGATACCTCCAAACGAGTAGGTCCTTAAACAATATCTATAGAACTTCAGGACTGGCTCCACAGACGCATTCCAACTGAGCAACAGTCTGAACAGCAAAGACTGCAGCACCGCAGAATGAAATGCCTAGTAATGCTCACATGTTACACTTACCAGAGATCTGAGCTACTGCTTGAGATGTAACTTCCTCTAGCAGTAGAAAAAACAGTGCACTTGGACTGCCTTCACAATTAGAAGGTTCATGCCAGTTCTGTGACTAATCCAGATCAAACTGAAAAATTCTATAACTGAAAAATGAGTGCGCTTTTAACATTTTCCACTAAAAGCCACAAGGAAATCTGGTGTACTGCCCCTGCTGACTAACACTGGCTTTAGCAAGTAAACAATTTCAAACAGCTTAACTGTTTTTGTGTGTTACAATAAAGCAAATGTTTAACCCTATAATGACAGCTGCATTAAGAATGTCTTCAGTGAACCTAAGTAAGAGAATTAGAAATGAAGGAGAAATATTTTATGAACATATAAAAACCATGAACCTAACGTTTTATTCTAATTTTTTACCAGGACCATTTAAAATCTATCAGATGTACGTTATTTTCAAGGATGCAAAGAAGTTGAAACAAAATAAATTTAAGATTTATTAACAATTTTTATATTGTGGAATTTAATCAAGTCATATTTTTAAAGAAAAAAAATAAGTTAGAAACCCTAATTCTAAAATTCTATGGATCATAAGAATTTTCACTGAAGAAATGGAATAATTCTACCTTCCCATCTGGAAATGGAATAAAGTCTTAAAATCTGTTAAAAACATAAAACTAGTGTTTAAAGTTCCTGGTACAGAATTATCTATGTTAAAGGCAAAAGGTAACACAAAGAAAGCAAAAAATCCCCCACCCCTATAAAATTAATATTCCCAAAGCTACAAATAAGTTTCAAAAACTATCAATTTATAGTTGGCTTTCTCCCCCACCCCCCATTTTTGTTTACTCAACCAATGGAGTTATTTCCCAACAGAAAAATTATAAATGCAATACCATAGTTCCCCTTCAATCTTTCTTTTTTCTTCTATCAACTAGCATTTTTATTAATAAGCATAATAGTTATTCTGAACATTTATGATGTGCTAGGGTGCTGTACTTGGTCAGCACATTAACCTTGCTACATTCTCATTTTATACAGAAAAAAACAGACTCAGAAATTAAATGTTTTATCCAAAGTCATACAAATTAGTAAAGTTGTGCCTAACTTCAAACACATGCTCTTTCCAATCAAGACTGCTTCCCCTGGGTGTATGCCCCCCCTCCCTCCCTCCCTCCCTCCCTCCCTCCCTCCCTCCCTCCCTCCCTCCCTCCCTCCCTCCCTCCCTATCTATCTATCTATCTATCTATCTATCTATCTATCTATCTATCTATCTATCTATCTTTGCAATCTATCTATCTATCATCTATCTATCTATCTATCTATCTATCTATCTATCTATCTATCTATCTTTGCAATCTATCTATGCAACCTATAATGGTTGTGAAAGGTTTGGGCAACAAAGGAATATACTATTTGTTGCGATAATATCTATCTATCTATCTATCTATCTATCTATCTATCTATCTATCTATCTATCTATCTATCTTTGCAACCTATAATGGTTGTGAAAGGTTTGGGCAACAAAGGAATATACTATTTGTTGCGATAATATTCCTAAACAAGTTATTTTTAAATGGGTACTTCAGGGCTAGTCTTACCACATTAATTTAAGCCAGTTTATTTACCAAAACATGGAGAAAACAAACAAACAAACAAAAAACCCAAATACCCTAGCATGCTAAAGATAAGTATGCAAGAATTTAAGAACAAAAACCATGCCAAAACCGGTTTGGCTCAGTGATAAAGTCTGCAGACTGAAAGGTCCCAGGTTTGATTCTGGTCTAGGGCATGTACCTTGGTTGCAGACACATCCCGGTAGAGGGTGTGCAAGAGGCAGCTGGTCGATGTTTCTCTCTCATCGACATTTCTAGCTCTCTATCTCTCTCCCTTCCTCTCTGTAAAAAAATCAATAAAATATATATTTTTTAAAAAGAACAAAAACCATTAAATATCAATTTATGAAAAAAAAGCCCTATAACCCAGATATAGCTGTACCAAGATACTAAAATATGCTAATAATTTTCCTAATTGTATTTTAAGATATATAAAATGGCTTAATAT